TCAAAAGAATAATCAGTAATAATTTTCCAAAATTCAAAAGAAACACTCAACCCTTAGATTCAAGAATGTAAGCCAGGATGAATCAAAAGAAATCCAAACCCACACATGTCATGTGCAACTGCAGAATATCAAAGCCAAAGAGATTTTAAAAGCAGCCAGATAGAGTACAGAGATTACCTAAAACGACATCATGATTAAAATCAACAACTGATATCTTACCAGTAACAGTGAAAATCAGAAGAAACTGAAATAGTAAGGTACTAAGGTAAAATAACTGTCAACTATATAACTTTACAGTCAATGACACTATTTTTCAAGAATAATAGCAAAATGCATTTAATTAAAATAAAACACTAAGAGACCCTCACCAACTTAGCATCTAACTCAGTATATTTCAGAAACTTGTAATTCAGAAAGAAGAAAATTGTCAAAGGAAGATCTCAGATGTAAAAAGAAATGGTGATTTGTAGGCAAATCTAAACAAATTGTTAACTGTGTAGAACAGCATAATAATTTTTAATTTATTTCATTAAAAAAAATCAAGAAAGAACTTAAATCTTAGAGAGTAATAGCATATAAGTTAAGAATAGCAGTACCTGGAGTTAAAGATTCTAAGGTGTTTACATTATTTGGGAGGAGGACAAAAATACTGATTAACTTGAACATAAATAACTGAAGATGATATTAAAATGTTTAAGGTGGGGTGCCTAGGTGGCTCGGTCAACTAAGCATCTCACTTCAGCTCCTGTCATGATCTCAGAGTTTCTGGGATCAAGCTCAACGTTGGGCTCTACGCTCAGCAGGGCATCTGCCTCTCCCTCTCCCCTTATCCTTTCACAACTTGTGCTCTCTCTCTCTCTCTTAAATAAATAAAAAAAGAATAAACAAAAATAAATAAAATGTCTAGGGTACCCTCTAAAAAAAACAAAAAATAAATTAAACTTAGCCAGAAGGCAAGAAAGGGAGGGTGTGGTGGGGAAAACGTATTAGAACAAATAAACATCACAAAATAAGATAGAGGTACTGAATCTCAATAATTTGGTAAACGGAATAAATGTAAATGGTCTAAAGTCTCCAAGAAAAGGCAAAGACTATCAGACTAAACATTCCAAATTCAGCTGCATGATATTTACAGTAAACATATCTAAAACATAAAGATACAAGAAAAATAATAGTAATAGACACATTATTAAAGCTGGAGAAGGTCATGATACATGATTTGGTTTATGAGGAAGATGAAACAATTTCTAATTTGAGTGTCCTAATAACATCAGCTCAAAATAAGCCAAAAATGGCAAGCTACAAAAAGAATTAAGTAATTTCATTACAGTGAAAGATTTGTATCTCTTTGAGTAATTGACAGTCCATGTAGACAAAAAACACACAAAGCATACAAGATTTAAACAACATATTATTATGTTTCATTTTATGGACACATAGAATTCTGCTCTCAACAATAATGTAAACATATTCTTTTCATGAATAAACAACTTTAATGTAAAATGAAGATATTATAGTCTAAGGCAAGTTTCTATAGTTGAACTATATGAAATTGGTATTTGTATGTCAAAAACAGCTGAAAATCATAATTATGTATTGTTCAATTTAAGATTTCAAATACTCTATAATTTATAGACCAAAACTTCTGACAACAATTTTGTTGGAACTTGGTACCCTCTCCCCCAAAATTAAATTCCCATGTGTTTGGAATATTAAAAATATCTAAGTAATTGAGGAGCTAAAAAAGAAATAATAATAAAAACAATAAAAACTTAGAATTAAACATTGAACATTCTATTTATCAAAATTGTAATTGGAATTAGCAAAAATGATACATAATGGAAAGCATATAGTTTTAAGTGCTTATTTTTAAGTATAATGATTTTTTTTCTTTCAATTTAAGAAGTTATAAAAATTTAAAAATAAGCCTTCCCCAAATAATAGCAGAAATTGATAAAACAGAAAAATAGAGAAGAGCAACAAAGCCAAAAGTTTTTTTGAAAAGGCTAACCAAATTAATAAACCTCTAACAAGCTTGATCAAAAAAGATGGGTAAGAGACAGCAGAGACCACAAGACTATAAATAAACATAACTAAAATGATATGCAACTACAGATGGAGCAAGGTTTAAGAAATTTAGAAGAAAATACTATTAATAACTTTTTGTTAGCAAATTTGAAAGCTTAAGTGAAATGGACAAATTCTATAATAAATTAAATTCCTGAAACAAACTAAACAGAAAAAGAGAGAGAGAAGCTGAATGTGTCTACAGTTACTGAAGAAAGTGAATTAATCATTTAAAAACAAAACAAAACAAAACAAAAAATCCCACCAAGAAAACACCACACTCAAATAGTTTTACAGGAGAGAAAAGGAAAGGAAAAAACTTACTCCACAGTTCATTTTATGATGCTAATACAACTTTAATGCCAAACCAAACAAAGGCAATATAAGGAAGGGAAAGTACATATCAATCTCAGTCAAGATAATAAACACAAAATGTACTAAATCAAATATTACCACATTGAACCCAACTATATTTTTAAAACGTTTCATAAACACATGGTTGATTTAACATGAGAAAAATCTGTTCATTTATTTACTAAAGACTGAAGGAGAAAAATGATATGGTCATCTCAATAGATGCAGAAAAAGTATTTGATGAATTCAATACAATTAATGATCAAAAACTATTAGTAAGTCAGAAATAGAAGAGAACATCCTGCAAGTTATAAAGAATATCTATGAAAAACCAAGACTAAACATCATGCTCAAAGGCAAAACATTAAAAGCACTCTATAAAATCAGTAATACTTGCAAAGATATCTGTTATCTCCATTTCCAACATTTACTGGAGGTTTGGTCAGCATCAGCATGTACGCTCACATAGACATAGACACACACACACACACACACACGAATATAGAAGGACTTGGAAGAAGGAAATAAAATGCCATTATTTTATTATTTATATCAGTTGTCTTTATGGAAAACCCAAAAGGATTAATACATGTATAAACTATTTGGAATTAAAAAGATTTAGAAAGTATTTTATGCATAAGAGCACTACACAAAAGCCAACTGCACATGTATGACCAGCAATAACATTAGAAAAAGTAAATTTTTAAAAGATACCACTTGTAATAACTAAAATAATTGAATTATAAAGAACTATAATTGTTTAAACAAAATATATATAAGAACTTTATGAAGAAAATAGTAAATGTTATTAAAATATTTTAAAAATCTATATAAATATGGAAAAGTACCATTTTCATGGGTGAGAAAATGAATTATCTTAAGTGTCAATTGCAAAAAAAGTGTCAACTGCCTTCCAAAATTAATCTATAGAATCAATACTGTTCCCTTCAAAATCCCACCAAAGTTTTTACAGAACTTGAAAAGCTGATGTTAAGATTTATTTAAAAAAAAAAATGGAAAAGAATGGTCAAGAAACCACTATAGAAGAAAAACTGGTAGGTGAATGGGGGTTGGAAAAAAACCTGACCAACCAGTTATCAAAAATTATTCTAAAATTACAACAATTAAGACTGAAGATTTGCAGTGAAATAAGAGTTTAAAAAGAGACTCACATGTATACAGGAAGTTGATATACTGCAGAGAATTCAGAGCAGATTAGTGAGATCAGGACGAATTATCCAAGAAACGTTGTGAGGACATTTAGAAAAAGTAAAATTGTATCTCTATCCTACATCATAAACGAAATTTCAGATGAATTAAGAATTTAAGTGTAAACATCAAAACATTTAAACTTCAGGATGTATAGATGTTGATGATTTCATGATTAGAAAAATTTCTAAATGATAACATGTTCAAAATAAAGAGAAAAAATGTTAAATAATAAAATTTAGCAGTTTGGTTCACCAAAACACACCATAAAGGGATTAAGAAGACAAGTCACAAAGTGAGAAAAAAAATTTAAAACACATATAACAAAGAACAATATCCAAGTTACATAAAGAACTCCCATATATCAATATGAAAAACAATCCAAAAGAAAAATGGACAAAGATTTTTTTATTTATTTTTATTTTTAAAAAAGATTTTATTTATTTACTTATTTACTTATTTATTTGTCAGAGAGAGAGAGAGAGCACAAGCAGGCAGAGGCAGAGAGAGAAGCAGGCTCCCCGCTGAGCAAGAAGCCTGATGCAGGACTCGATCCCGGGACCCCGGGATCATGAGTGGAGCTGAAGGCAGTGGTTCAATCAACTGAACCACCCAGGCATCCCACTGTTTGTTTGTTTGTTTTTTAAGAAAAAGATGTTTTTTAAAGAGGATTTTATATAAGAGAAATGATAAATGGCTTATGAGCATATGAAAAAACACTCAACTTCTTTGGGAATCAGAGAAATACAAATTAAAAGGACAATAAGATACCCAAGTATTGGTTAGGACATGGAGCAATGGGGACTGTCAAACCTGGCTCAGGGAGCTTAAATTGGCTACTATTATTCTGTAAACATTTTAGCACCAGTAAAGCTAAAGATGTATATTTCATGACTCAGAAATTCCATACCTGGGAATATACTCTAGAAAAATTTTTACACATACATACCAGAAGATAAAAACAAGGATGTATTATCTTACTTGGTGGGGTCAAAATAAGAAATTATTATGAAATATTTAATTGAGCATCATACAACATATTTATCCAAAATTGATATTTATGGAACACATAAATATTCTCTTCATGGACTTCATTAATTATTAAATTTATTAATAAATGTCAACAATATCCTTTTGTAAATGCAGAGATAAAACAAACCTGACAGATCAATTTTTGATATATCATGAATGACTTTTTGTTTGCACTGACAGGCATATATACTTTAATCACCAAAGACTAAACTGAGCATTTATAAAAGAAAGTCCTTTTTGAAGAGTATTTCAATTTAATCAGGATTAAAATAAATAATACTTTTATTCTTATAAACTTTAAATAAATTTAGTTTTAAAATCATACTTAATCAGAAAATATACAAAAGGAAACAATAAGAATAGGGAGAGCCTGGTGTCCTATGGTCTTCCTTAATAACAATCCATTTTCAAGAGACTGTAATCTACTCAACAGAAAGCGTTCTACCAAGGATATTAATCAGATTCTAAGAAAATTCACACTCAAAATAATAAGCCACTAAAACCAAAACAATGTAGGTATTAGCAGCTATACAAGAAGTCAGCCTCTCTCTGATGAGTCATTTCTAAAATAATGAACATCTACGTCTTTGCTTTGAAGTGTCTCTATTCAAGCTGGAAAATATATAAAGGTAGGAATCACCTACAAAGTAGGTTGACTGAGAAATTTTTCTTCATTTTCCATAGTCTTATTTGACTCCATGCAAACATCAAACTAAGAATGGCAAAAATGAGTCTCTCTTCCTACCTATTAATACTAACTTTTTCTCTGTTTTCTCAAGGCATTTTACTTTCAGCATCCAAGTCCATAAGAAATTTAGAAGATGACTTGGTATTTAATACATTCAAGCTGGGGAAAGCCTTTCAGAAGGAAGATACTCCACAAAAAGCAGTTGCTGCTCCTTCTCTGGAACAATATAAAAATGATGAGAGCAGTTTCATGAATGATGAGGAAAACAAAAATTCAAAGGTAAGTGGCAATGTGACTTATCCTTTCTTCAATGGAAATCTGAATGATTTTTATGATGAAAGTAAAATTGATACTTTTATAAATAGAAGTATATATAAACCATCACACTAAGCTATAGGCAACTGATGAAATTTCATAAACACCAGGTTGTTCTTCTTCTCTGTACAACACTCTTATCCAAAAGTTTTTGCCCCAAAATTTTTACCTAATGTATTTTTAAAGAGTCAATACTGTATAGAGCATCTTTGAATTGATCAATGAGAATATTATACAAATATATTATAGTCCTATTATCAGTAAGACAGCTAAAACACAAATCAACCTTTTCTTTACAGAACACAGACTCCAAACATAATTTCTTAAATCATGGTCTGCCACTGAATCTGGCTATAAAACCTTATCTTGCACTAAAAGGATCTGTAGCTTTTCCAGCTGAAAATGGAGTTCAGAATATTGAATCAACACAAGAAAAGAGAGAAATTGGGGATGAAGAAAACTCAGCTAAATTTCCTATAGGAAGGAGAGATTTTGACAGTGAGTAGTCTTTTAAAAAATTCAATTCTTATATCTTAATATCATGAAAATAGAAACTCGGAGTTTAACTGGATTTGGATCAAGTAAGACCATGGTTCAATTAAGTGACCCCTGCCAAAGATGTGGGATTAAAAGGCATTTAAGGGTTATTATAATTCTGATTTATTCAGAATTAGCTATATTAGATCCATTCTCTTATTTCTAATAAATTTTGTGTGATTATAATAGTGCTTTAAACAATTTAAACTTTTTTTTTCCCTCCAGTGCTCAGATGCATGCTGGGAAGAGTCTACCGACCTTGCTGGCAAGTCTGAAACCTGTTGGACAACATCATCTTTTCCGAAGAAAACAAAATCATTTAATTGTCTGTCGGGGAAAAAGCCCTTAACATTACTATGACTTGTGTTATTTTAAATGTTTGTTTCAAAAGAAAGCAGCTGCTAACATATATCTGTAGCCTAAATGATATGATTCATCTGTGCATTAAACTTTGTGAATATTCTGCATAATGACTTACTAGTATTTTTTAAATGCTTAATTTACTAACCTTATATATACTTCAGACCAACATAATAAAGAATCATAACCTATCCCTTGCTCTCTTAAAAATTAAGTAGATGCCTTTGGCAAATAGTTTAATATACACAGAAATCTAAAGCACATAAAAACCTAATTCATAGTCTAAAAAATTGAGTTAGCTTTGTCTGGCCAGTAATCAATTTGTCCTTGGCTGTACACTTATTGTTTTTTGCTACTCTGGCTACTTTGCCACACGATTTATTCTGGAAATTGTTTGATGTCTCAGGTATCTTAATATTTTTATGTTGAGGTGGTTCATTTCCACTATCACAGAGATTATTTTTATCATCTAAATCCACCTGTTTCCTTTTTGAGCTTTTATTTCCTGTCTGACTACTTGATTTTCTTGCCACTTTTTCAATTTTACTTCTATCCAGATGAACATTTCCAGAACTTGTTCCAATTGCTGGCCTTCCAACAGATGAATTTACACCTTCTGTTATGCAAGATGAAAAAAGGAAAGAAATTACATAATGTTTAGAATTACATGTGAAAATTACAATAAACTTTAAAAATCACTAAAGAATATTCAAAAATTTGATTTGCAATCACATATAAGTCACATGATTAACAAATACAGCTACATTACTAGCACCTTACTTTCCATTTACTATATCATTTTTTTATCCCTCCAAACAACAAATATTTGCTTTCCTTGAATGCATGACACTTAATCTTTAAATGCTACATGTTATTTCTTAAATATATTTAGTTAATCTGTGTCCTATTCCTCCTAGATTTGTACCTAGGTTTAACTTTTTAAAAAAACCCGTCTTAAAAATATAAACCTTTACATTTCACATTTCATATTTTTCAAAACGAAATCTTATTTTACTTAAGTTAAAAACCAATTTGGGGTGCCTGGGTGGCTCAGTTGAGTAAAATCTTCCTTCTGCTCAGGTCATGTTCCCAGCGCCCTGGGATCAAACCCAACATATCGGCACTCTGCTTAGGTGGGGGAGTCAACTTCTCCCTCTGCCCTTCTGCCTGCTTATGCTCTCTCTCTTCAGCGTGCTCTTTCTCTCTCTCTCAAATACATAAAATCTTTAAAAAAAAAATAAAAAACAAATAATACACTAGAATTAAATAGTTATTTAACACTCAAATAAGTTCAATTACCAGAAAGGTCATTTTCCATGGGAAGTTCATACAAAGGCTTGGATGCTGAATTAACATCATTCCATTTATCCTTGTTTATTGTGCAGTCATCTTTATAAGTACAAGCAAACTGGGATCTAATTAAGGTTTGTTTCATCTAGTAAAAGGAAGACAGAAGAACATATACAGTTTTTTAGTTTGATTTATTTTATCTTTTTCATCCAGACAGAAAAATATTCTATGATAATCAAGATACAAAATTTCCCTTAAAAACTCCATTATTAGGGGGTAGGAAAAGAATAAATGAAACAAGATGGGATCGGGAGGGAGACAAACCAAAAGAGACTCTTAATGTCCCAAAACAAACTGAAGGGGGCCGGGGGGAGGGGTGTAGGGAGAGGGTGGTGGGGTTACGGACATTGGGGAGGGTATGTGCTATGGTGAGTGCTGTGAACTGTGTAAACCTGGCAATTCACAGACCTGTACCCCTGGGGCTAATAATACATTATATGTTTATAAAAAAAATTTAAAAATTAAAAAAAAGCTCCATTATTCATTGGGAATTTTTAAGCCTTGATGTTTCATAATTTACTCATCCATTGCTACACAGGCATAGTAATACCAGCTTTTTATACCTTTTAACAGTTTAGAAAAATCAACTTTAGACTCCAGAATATGTGACTACTTGAATATTTAGGAAAATAAGATGATTCAAATTATACCATTCTAGAAGATCTGACCAAGTGATTTAATGGTCAAATATTCAAAATAAACTCTTGCATTTATCTTCAAAGATAATAAGTAAGAGAAAATCAGAAAGCTAAATTTAATTCTTAACCACAAAAAAAGGATGTCAAGAAAGTAATTTAGGAAATGTATTCTGCAAACATAAAACCAGTGGCCACTTTAGGGACAGAAATTAATTTCAGAACAAAGTAACCTCTATGGATAATGCAAATTTCAGTAAATTACAGCTGATGTGTAATGACATTCAGTTATCATGGAGAGATAGCTTCAAATTGAGATGTCAAATCCTTTTCAGAAATAGATGTTTAAATTTCAGATAAATGAATAAGGAAGACTTCAACAATTCAAAAATTTAACACTTCAAAGCATAACTATATTATGTTGAATATTACTTACAAAATATTGATTGATAATAATGTTGTTCATAAGGTCTGAAAAACACAATTTTATACTTCATATTCAGTAGTTAAATACTATATTATACATTCAGAGAGATCATTGCATTAACCAACTCAGATGTTAGCAAAGATAATGGCAGTGAAATCCACAGACTAAGGTTTAAAAGAAATTAGATTAACCCAGTTGCTTTATCAAAGCAAGTGTTTCCAGGGAGTGCCTAGGTGACTCAGTTGGTTTACTGTCCAACTCTTGATTTCGGCTCAAGTCATGATCTCAGGGTCCTGAGACTGAGCCCTGGGTCAGGCTCCAAGTTTAGCAGGGAGTCTGCTTCTCTCCTTCTCCCTTTACCTCTGCTCCTCCCCCATGCTTTTGTTCTCACCTGTTCTCTTTCTCTCTCTCTCAAATAAATAAATAAATGGATCTTAAAAAAAAAAAGAAAAGAAAAAGCAAGTGTTTCCAGGATGACTTTATATACTTCTGACGAATGGTGTCTATGAGAGCTCCAGTTCCCACATTAAAAATTATGAAAAACAATCTGAGGGTTTTGAAGGGGCGGGGGGTGGGAGGTTGGGGGATATAGGTGGTGGGTATTGGAGAGGGCACGCATTGCATGGAGCACTGGGTCTGGTGCAAAAATACTGTTACGCTGAAAAAATAAAAAATTTTTAAAAATTATGTTTAATTTGCTTGAAAATTAAAAAAATTGGAGTTTGGTATCTTTCATTTTAAGCACAAAAATTCACAAAATTGAAAAAAATGTGAAGATGTAAAAGATCAAAAACTATTTTAAAAAGTAGAAGAGAGTATGGGGCGCCTGGGTGGCTCAGTGCATTAAAGCCTCTGCCTTCGGCTCAGGTCATGATCCCAGGGTACTGGGATCGAGCCCCGCATTGGGCTCTCTGCTCAGCGGGGACCCTGCTTCCCCCTCTTTCTCAGTCTGTCTCTCTGCCTGCTTGTGACCTGTCAAATGGATAAACTAAAAAAAAAAAAAAAAACGTAGAAGAAAGTAGTAGTAGGCTCTTGATTATGGATGATGGACTACAACCCAATATCTTCCTGAATCTCTATGAATACAACTACTATTCTACAGTTTCCATCATGAGATGCCCTAAAATTCAACCAAAGGTTTTAACTAGCCCTTTCTGGACTTTATTAATTCCATAAGTAAAGAATTAAAAAAATGATTAAAGCTATTAAAATAAATTTCGTTAATAAAATGAACTCTGTAAAGTTTATACTATATCACATTGTTACTATAATAACATTATCAAAAACCTTTTATTACTTTCTGCAAAACCAGTACTAACTGTTGATGTTATCTTTATTATTATTATTATCATTACTATTATCTGTGACATTATACATTTCTTTCACCAGAGTTACTGCTTAGAGACAATAAACTTATTCTGGGCAAATAAAATTATTGCCCATAATGAGTTAAAAGAGTATGGTAAGACTATGAAGGCAAATGAATGCTAAGTGGTTGTCTAGGATTGCTTTTGTAGTACCCAGATAGTGAATGCAACTGTGAGTGGCTTGGAGGACTTTAGCATCCCACCACAAAATCTTCATCAGCACCCCCATAAAATACCCTAAATAAAAATACAATAATTATGGGTGCCTGGGTGGCTCAGATGGTTAAGCGTCTGCCTTCATCTCTGGTCATGATCCCAGGGTTCTGGGATCGAGTTCCACATCAGGCTCCCTGCTGTGCAGGGAGCCTGCTTCTACATCTCCCTCTACTGCTCCCCCTGCTTGTGCTCTTTGGCTCTCTCTGTCAAATAAATAAATAAAATATTTTTTAAAAATTAAAATAAATAAAAATTAAAATACAATAATTATATTATTTAGGATGGGAAATTGATGTTTTCTCAATCTCATGGTTAGCAAAAATAAACATTTCTTTAGAAAGCTGTGTTATTTTTAATAATTTTTGACACACACCTAAGTAAAAACCTTTCCTTGCTGTGTAAATACACAGTCACAAAATAAGTGTCATAGTCCTTACACTAGATTTCCTCTCTTTAGGCCTCCTATAGAAAAATTTGTGAGCTTCAGTGACAGTAGGGTAATTTCAGAAAACCAGAATTACAAGGTAATGGATTTTTAAAATACTGAGAATGGATTCAGATGTAAAAGGAAATAGTTAACCACTTTATTCATCATAAAATATATTATTTAAAAAATATTAAAATATGAGAACCATAACAATTCTATGGTAATCTTTGGATACTTATGTCTAAAGGAAATAACTGAGTATTTACATTGAAGGTATTTTTTCTTTTTGGAAAAGATTGTATATGAGTTTTCCTTTCCTTGCCCTGTACAAAAATCTCTTTTTATCAATTATGACTTATTAAGTTCCAACCATAGGCACACAGAATACTAAAGACATTACTAAAATGGCTCCTATAATTACAAAGACATTTCACTTATAAAATCTGCTTTTGACACACAACTGGAAGAAATAATAAATTGGATAACAGACCCAAGATTGAAAAGATGTCAGAAAGCTAGAACCATAAGTAGAAAACAATAAGATGAGAATGAGTGAGGATAAACAAAGTCCTGTATTTAAGTTCAAAATATCAATTACAGATGAGGATGAGGAAAACTTGACTTAAAAACAACATATGAAAAAGAGCTAGAGATTCTCATTGATCATGAACCTGACTGGAGCCAACAATGTGATGTCTGGCTAAAAAGATCAACACAAAAAGACAATGATGTGATGGGAAAGGCACCAGATTTGTAGTTAAAAGACCTGCTTTCTAATACTGGCCCTATCACTTATAATCTAGATGATTTCATGTAAACTTATGAACTTCTCCCACTTATCCACACATAAATGAGAATAATATTTATCTCACAGAACAGTCAGAATTAAATAGTTAAAAATTTGAAAGGACTATATAAGTTCTAGAGATCCATGTAGATACCATGTAATTAATTAATGTAATAACATCCATGAAGACAGTTTTTCTGTAGAGTAGTAATCTGTTTAATTAGATTCCTCAAGACCAAGCCAGCTCTAAAATTATTCTAGAATTGCAACTCAAAAACTGAACTTATAATCAGCATCTTCATTTTAGTTATTACAACAATACAAGCTGCACTGGCTTGTATTTATAACTTAAAAGAGATTGCTTTTCCTTTGTTCATAAAAGTTGAATTTTTCTGCACAGGATTAGTGGCTACATAGAATTGAGATTACTTCCTGTGGCAAATCTTCCAAATCTCTCTGTGTATTTAATTTGGAATCACAAACAAGCAAAACAATTCCCTCTTGAAAGTGCTTTTGAAGTACTAGACAACTAAGAAAATTCATACATGGCTGTTAAAATCATTTTATGTTCAAGTCACATGAGAGAAAAGGATTGAACATTTTCCTTTGTAGAGTGATTTCCCCCCTTTGGAAAGATTTCTATCCATAGTAAAATTGCAATGAACTTCAAACTTGCCGAGAATTGGAAAAGTCCTTTTGCCACAAGCTCTTTCTAAATTGGAATTATTAGTAGGTTCCCAGTTTGAGGAAAATAGTACTTCATATAAGAAAGCCTGACTACAGTTAGATTAAAACAAATGAGTCAAAATACTGTAAAAGTCACAGTCATTCACAGTCTTTCCTGGAGTTAGCCATTAATAAAAGATAATGAAAGTGCTAAGCCCCATTATGCCAATAAATTTATCAACAAGTATGAAAAAGGAAATTATTTTCAACATACTTATTAAATATGGAACTGAAAATAAATATTCTAAATTTACCTTTTTATTCTTATAGTATTATCTTTTCAAAAAAACAGAATTGCTACCCTTAATGTTATATGGATTGTAAACACATCAAATAAGCCATTCCTTCATCAGTGAAATTTCATTTATTTTACTAACTAGCAGAAAGACAATATTTTCGACCTAAGTAGTAGCACTACTTTTTTTATGACTCTTCACTATAATTACTATAATTACTACGTCTTTATTTACTCTTTGGAAATAGCATGAAGTCTTATACCT